GGTAGCCAAGACGTAAACAGGCCCGCTTGACTACTGATAACGGGTGCCTGAAAAGACACTGACATTTGGGGCCAATAAGAAGACAACAGAGATGGGAAAAGGGGAAGGCAGTGAGCAGTCCTTTGAAAAATAATATGATTCTTTGAAAAAAGCAGTGCAATTGTTAGAGGTGCTCTGGGCTGCAATTAATGGAGGTGTAGACAAAAAAGACATTTCATGGGCACCTGAGTGGCTCGGTTGGTTAAGCAACTGCCTTCGGCTCAGGTGATGATCCTGGAGTCTCAGGATCGAGTCCTGCATCGGGCTCCCTGCTCAGCGGGGAGTCTGCTTCTGCGTCTGACCCCTCCCCCTCTCATGTTCTCTCTCTCATTCTCTCTCTCTCTCTCTCAGATAAATAAATAAAATCTTTTTTAAAAATCTAAAAAAAGGCATTTCATTCTCACGCAGAAGAAGTCTGAGGGCAATGGGCAGTTCTAGGAACAATTAACTATCCGGTGACGTTATTCATGGATGTATCTGATGATGTTCAAAGACGGACTAGGTAAGTGCCTCTGAGATCCTCTTAATTTTTTCCTCAGAGTCTCAAACAAAGGCGGCAGCAGCTCCACTCCTCACATGAAAGCATCCAAAAAAGGAAGACCTTCTCTCACCACCTTTGTTAAGGAGAAAACTATTTCCAAGAAGCCTCTGAGCCAACCTCCTGCATGTCAGAACGTCATCCCTGGTCACCCTTCACCACCGGGAAGCTGGGAAAATAAGTATCCCACCATATGATTTAATACAGTCACATATTAGCTCTCTAACTCTCTCATCAACTCCAGCTGACTTGACCTAAGTCACTATCAATCCTGTCCACCTCTCTTCATCGCCACTGCTGATAACCGATGAGGTTTATTGGGTGTGTGCTACGTGCGTGCAAGGCATTATTCCACGCACTTCACAATTACTAACTCGCTTAAGCCTTCCAACAACCCTATGAAGTGGATTACGCTAATTATTTTATACATTAGGAAACTGGGAAATAGAAATGTTAAGTAACTTCATCAAATTCACATACATACGTGACAGAAGCATTCTTAAGAATTCATATCTTACCTAAAACTAATGTAACACTGTGTATCAACCATACTCAAGAAAAAAAGGTACAAAAAGAAATTTGTATCTTAATTGGCACACTACACTGCCTCTTTTTTTAAATATTTTATTTGAGAGTGAGAGAGAGCTCATAGAGAGAGAGCACGAGTGGGGGGAGGGGCAGAGGGAGAGGGAGAAGTGGACTCCCTGCTGAGCGGGGCTCAATCCCAGGAGCCTGGGATCATGACCGGAGCTGAAGACAAGTCTCAACTTCCCCACCTGTAAGTGGGAATAACGACACGATGGGATACTAAATATGATGTGCTAGGGAACCTGTCAACAAACCCTCATTAGAATCTTTCTTCCCAGATGCATCTTTGTGTCCCATTGGGCCAATGACATGAGCTGGGAGGCTTCACAGCTGAGATCTGGTGGCCTCCCCACTTCTCACATAGTGCCTCGCAGGCCACGGCATTCTTCTCCACTTGTTGGTCTGCATGATGCCACCATGTGGAAATATGCGAAAAATACTAGAGTGAGTAAGAGGTTAAGGGTTTGCTAGTGATGTGGGAAACTAAAGGCAGAAGGAAACGTAGATAAAATTAAATGTCCTTATAACCTGCAGCCCACTGACAGATACTTGAGATAGGCAGATTATAATATTCCTCCAGGATCCTGGGTCTTCTTTAGCAGATCAAAGTCTGTTTGGAACTTCTCTTATCTTTACTTCTCCCAACCCCAAGGTTTATAATCACTGGCTCCTCACAACCCCGGAGCAGCAGAGAACAGCAGGTAAAAACTCTCTCTGGCCACGGGTCTTGTCCCTGTGCTTTAACAAAAGCACCATTTTGCACCAAGATATCTCAAGAATCCCTTCTTGGCTGTTGGTCTGGACCTCACCCTACCAACACCAACACACAAACATTCAAAAACTACATCACTAGGAGCAGAGGGAAAGAAGGCGACAGAATAAATATGGCATGTGTTAGGTATCCACTAAGTGCCAGGCATTTTCATATATTATCTCATTTAATACTTAGCAAAAGAAAATCTGATTCTACAAATGAGGAAACGGAGGTTCAGACAGGTTAAGTGTCTCACTCATGGTCTCAGAGAAAGTAAGTGGTGGAGACCAAACTTGAACCCAACTCTCTGGTTTCTCCATAGGACTTGCTCCTGCCACCCCAGGACACTACCCCCAAAATGATTCTCTTCCTCGCGCTTGCTTCCAGGTAAGTGTGCATTAAAAGACCCAAGGCTTCTTTTAGGCAAGTTTAAGGTCAACCTGATCCTGTTCTAGGTGGGAAGAATTGGCTATTGAGTAGTATGGGAGCATACAGCATCTCAAAATTTCATTAAATATCTGCAAATAAATTACACATGCTAGAGTCTTCCTTTTAAAAAGGTACATGCCACTCAAGTAGAAAAACTAACTCTGAATTCAAAATGCCCCATACTAAAAGGTTGACTAGAGAATTTTTTTTAATTAACCTAATTTTGAATGAGCTTTAATTAATGAATTAAAAGTAGTCATTATCATATTCTGGGTCTAAATGAAGTTACATGACATGAAAGCTGAGGTCTAAAAGGAGAGGGAAGACAGAGGAAGTCATTCTCCCCTCTCTCACATTCAACCCTAGACATGAGCTCGAAACGAAGAACTAGTTCCCAAGATCCCATAGAACTGGTTCCAACACACAACCCATACACTGTGGTTACCCAAAATGTAATCCACCTACTGCCTGCCTCCAAATCTCCTGGGACCTTGGCTGGAATGCCATTTCCGGGGCCTGCTCCAGGCATATAAATTCACATTCTCTGAGGATGACTCCCAGGAACGAGCACTTTAACAGACACCCCCTAGATGTTTCTGATCATCCCAAAGAGTGCGAAGAATAGCTTTAGGAGCTCAGTAAAAATGTAAACGTCACGATGACTCCACATATTTATTTTACGGGGAGTTAATTTGGTATAAGAAACTTGACTTTTTTTTTTTAAGATTTTATTTATTTGACAGAGAGAGCACAAGTAGAGGGAGAGAGAGGGAGAAGCAGGCTCCCTGCTGAGCAAGGAGCCCGATGTGGGACTCGATCCCAGGACCCTGGGATCATGACCCGGGCCGAAGGCAGCTGCTTTACCGACTGAGCCACCCAGGAGTCCCTGAACCTTGACATTTTTTGAATAAATATTATCCCAGCAACTATAAAGGCAAAGCATTCCCACTTTCAAAATGGGGGAAATCAAATCTTGAAATATATACGGCACATTCTCCCCTTACACGTAGTCCACAATCAACTGCCTTGCAGCTAGAAGAGAAATCAACAGTTACCACCAATTCACTGATTAGGATGTTTCACAAGGCACTTGATTAACTCACCTTTGTATTCAATTCCTAGTTAATTTTATCTTGTGAGGGAATGGCATTTTTCTAAATTTTTAACTTCAGTATGCTCCTTAGTGGAGAACAGACTCCCTGAGTCAACGGTTTCCTTCTTCTGTACAACCCCCAGAAGAGGTAATTTTTTTTTTTTTTTAGATAAATTATTTCCTTCTCTGACTCCTCTCTACTGGTTGAAGACAGTCTTCAAACCCACCCTCTTGCCTGCTAGCTTACCAATTAAAGTTCCGGATATGGGCAATTAATTTTTAAAAAGAAACCCAAGAGTTGAACAGCTCCTTGTGATTAGGCAAGCTCCTCTTTATCCCTCCCCAGTTTAGAGGTCTCTGTTCCGTTGTTTCTTGGGACTTGCCCCAAGCTTAAGGGTTCCTCCAAACTTGAGGGTCAAGGACACAAGGCAATAATTAAACAGTCTCCCCATCTGGGGGAGCTCTGACAGTTCCATCACCTTGGAAAACAGCAGCAGGCTCCCTGAATATGCACAGAGAGAATAAATTTTATGCACCATAAGAAAACAGGGTTCACTTATCCCCAAATGTAAGAGTCACGATTCAAAACTGTCACTGACTGGGAAGCATCTTTAGTCAGGAATAGTATCTTCAAGCTGACAAGTCACAAATAGGTGTACTTTTGCTAACCAGACTGGTAGTTGGGAAAAAGCTCAAAAATATCCCATCCTCATCTTTATTTTTTTCTGCTAAAAATGGAATGGCTTCCACTTACCAAACTAGCCAAGCCACTGCTGATGGAGGTACCACCTCCGGCACGGGGCGTATGCACAGTAAATATTAGACATCAGGTTACCTAGGTCGTTTGTAGAAATCCCGATTTTGGAAAAAGAAATATAGAAGATACACTCATAGAAGACATTTTGAGCCTTAAAATGGAACTGCTTGCTTTGATGCAAATGGGCAAATGGCTATGGGGAGGCAGGGGGGGGACATGGATAATTTCTCTCAGACTATCCTTTCTAGTATTATAAGTTATCTAGTTGGAGTCGTTGGTACATTGTCTGTTGAGCGAGCAAGTGAATGAAATCAGTTCTTTGCTTATTATGTGCGCTGAAAAGGGCTAACCAACATTAACCAAGTGACCCCTCCTCTCTTGTTTCTTCCACAATAAATTCAATCAAATTTACGGAGCGCCTAGCCTGTGCCAGGCACTGTGCCAGGCGCCGGAGATACAAAGATGAATGAGGCAAAGTTCAGGTTTCTTAACGATTTCTTAAGATTTGCGAGGGCATAGCCCCGCTCCCCCTTCCACTGCAGCCTGGACGGCTGCTAACCAGTCGTGGGAGTGCGTACTCTACAGCTCCCTGCTTCTGGGAGCGCGTTACTCCCAGGCCAGCCCACGAACCTAGCGACAGGGCTCTCCCCGCGTTCCCCAAGAGTCAAACAATCAAGTTCAACTCAGGAGCTGCGGCTCTCGCTCCGCGCGGAGCGACTCCGGGCTGCGCAGCGCACCGCGCGGGATTCCTTCCACCTGTCCGCGCGCCCGTCGGGGTGCGCCAGACCCCGCGCCCGCTTACTTTGCCGCTGTCGCTCACGCCGAGGAGGTGATCCCGCAGCACCTCCATGGGGCAAGTCCAGGTGGAGTGGATGAATGTCCCTCGGAAGATGTGCGCCAGGGACGGCATCGGGGCGGCACACATGTCAGCGGCGGCGCGCGGCGCGGGGTTCGCGAACCGAGGAGAGCGCACCCGGCGGAGGTGAGGCGAGGGGTCCCTGCGACTTGCGGGCTGCTGCTGGGCGCACCTGCTGGGGCCTCGGACTGCCCCCGCTTTCCCGAGCGACAGCCTGCCCCCTGCAGGCCGCGCCCAGGGGCGGGCTTCCTGCCTCCTCGATGCCAATAGGATTTTTCTCCTGTGACTTGGCTCCGCGCTCCCTTGGGGTGTGGTCTTTCTCTCCTCCCTGTGTTAGTTTTTGATAGGTTAACTCTTTGAGTTTCCAAAATCATCGCTCACAACGCAGTACTTTTAACCTCGGGTGGCTGAGTTACCGACCCAGAGGAGAGAGGAGAGGGAGATAAAGGAAGGGGCAGGAGGAGCCCAGGGTTCCAGCCCTGTTCCTTAGCTGGTCACTAAATTTGCTATCGCTCCCTGTCCCCCAGCCTCCTCCACCTTTCTTTATTGGCATACCTAGAGTTGCGTCTGCCTGCTTTCTCTTGCCCTTTAAACCTCGGGCTATTTGTGACCAAACCTTTTACGTTCTCAACCTGTAGCACTCTCAAGGTCTGAACGGGCACAAGTTCAGGAAAAGGTGGAAGGGTCAGTTGGAGCTGCCTGCTTTACCGACCAGTTTCATTTTCAGTTTCTGCAGGTTGCAGAATTTGTCCTAACCTGATGTTCTGAAAGCAACTCTTAACGGAATTACGGGGCCCTCCACCGGCAGAGGTTGATCTGTACCCCAAAGCCCCTCTCTCCCACCTTGAGGCCAGTGTTTTTGGCCCTTGTGTCCCTCCACAAACAATTCCATTTCCCGTCGTTCTCACACCTAAAATAAATGATTCTCTTTGATTCAATTCCACTTGTACCCGGGGAGGAAATTAAGTTCTCAAGCTGAGCGGCTAGGAATGGCAGTGTGGCATGGCGTGCTGGAAAGACCACCGGATTAGCAATTAATAGACTGTGGTCAAGGCAGCGAGCCTCGGAGTCTATCTTCATGTGTGAAAACGGAACTTAGACCGGGTGGTTGCTAAGACTGCTTCCAGATCGGCATTCTTTCCTCGTACTGCATTCACAAAGTCCTTCACTAAGTTCCTCCGGGAAGACCACCTGGTTTCCACTCATGCCTCACACATTCGACTCTTTCTGCCCCTAATGCCTCCTGAGGATCTCCACATGACTGGCTCGTCTCATCACTGGTTTGCCTCCAGTGTAGCTCTCCCGGGTAACCTTCCCCCACCACCAAACTAGTAGCAACACCCCACCCCCGAAATTTCTATTCCATCAATTCATCTTGTTTCTGCCATTGTATTTATCATATCCATCCTCATATATGTCATGTGTTTTCATTTATTTCTGCCCCTCTTGCCCCAACACACACACAGAGAGTAATGGAAGCACCACAAGACCAGGGCTCTTATGCCTAGAACCCTGCTTGGTGTTTCAAACATATTTATTGAATAAATGTATGAATAGTTTTTGGGGGGAGCAGAGCAATAACCTGAGATAAATATCTATTCTGGGTCCTACCTACAGGATAAGGGTTTCTCGTTTCAGGGCATGAGTGGGCTTTCTCTGAATTGTCACCATTATGACACAGGGCTAGTTTACATAAATGATTCATTCCGTTCTCAGCTCCCTCACCTCAAGGAAACTCTGCAGTCCAGGGCGCACTGAGGTGGCCAGTCACCCTACCGAGGAATCAGAATTGGGAAGCCCTGAAGCTAAGAACATTGCACTTGCTTCTTGAGGTGGCCGTATTAGCTCTTTCTCCTTATCGTTGTCTCCTGATTCTGCAGACTTTGCTCCCTCCTTGTAGTTCCAATGGCCAACACAGTGAAAACAGCCTCTTGACCCTAGGCTTGTCTACCTACGAACCTCAGAAAGAAAAGTGAAGAAAAGGTCTGTGTCTTTGTTTAAAAAAGGAGTCAATTAAGTGTTTCCAAAAGAGGTATTGGTTCCCTAAAACAGATGCAGCTAATTTTTTTTTTTAATGAAAGCAACCTGAGTGACCAACAATAGAGACTAGTTTAGTAAATTAGAATCCATTTACTCAGTAGACTATTATGTAGTTGTTAAAAATGGGGGAACTATGTAGCCACATGGGCGTTGCATATAATAAAATGGTAAGCTTTTTAAAATGTCATTTATGCTCTGGTTAAAATCATGAAAAACCTATAGGCACAGAGGCTAGAATTTCAAAGTGGATCTAAACAGTGGGTAGCATTCTACTGAGGAAATGGAATTGCTAGGGAGTTTTGTCCTGATGTTTGTTGACGTTGTTATGTGTGGCTTATGGAACAAGTAATTATTGTGTAGCTTTAAATAAAGTTCATCTTAAACAGAAGGAATGGTCATGGGCCTCCAGGGGACACAGCATTAGCACTCCTTGGGGGTTAGCTCTTCCAAGCAGTACTCTCCCAATTCAATTCCCAGCCAAGTTGCAGGCACTGCACTTAGGATACGGTAGCCTCAGTTCAGCCAGGTGTCAGGAAATCTTGGCTTCCCAACTATTCTCATGTGTTTACCACCCTCGTCCTTTACTTTGCTGGTCCCCCTGCAGTTTTGACTCCCATCTTGGTATCCCCTGGGAAATGTTCTCAAGGCCACGGAAGTTTGGAGGAAGAAAGGAGTGTGGAGCTTTTATATTCACCTTTGAAACATGGCCCAAGCACATCACAAGACAGCTTCTGGTTAATATGGTTATTCTGACTCGGCAAAGCATGTCCTGTGCTTCTAAAGTCTCAAGGAAATAGCAGTTTCTCTTCTTCAGCTCTTTCTATAGCCCACGTTTATATTCATGCCATATTAGAACTGAAAGGACCTAAGAAGTTAGTGTTCAATGTGCATTTCCCTGCTATTTCTTCATATCACTATTCTGTCAGCAATGGCTCGTTTCAACCCTCACCAACTCAGTTTCTCAAAAGGAAATCCAACAACGGTATGCACTTTCAGGGCCCTACCACACGTATCACCTCCTTCCAAAGAAAAGAGACGCTCCTTGATATGGAGGCTTCCTGAAGCCCTCCCTGCTTCTTCGGGCTCTTCTCCCTCCAGTATCCCACATACTGTGCATCTGCTTTGCTCACGATCTCTGCCTGCAGCGCCCTTAAGCCACCTTACACCGCGCCTGCCTTATTCTACTACCCACTCTCCCCTGGCTAAATCCTTCAGCTTAATTGCCCATTCCCAACCCCTTCCAGAACATCTTTACACCTCCTCGCTCTCTCTCAGGTACTAAGTGCTCCTTCTCTGAGTTTGTGGGGTGCTATAATTGTTCCTTTATTATTTATCTCCACCAGAAGATTGTGTTCTACTTAAGGACCATGTCTCCTTCCTTTCTTTCTCTGTATCCCCTTAACATAGTGCCTGGCCAATAGGAGGTACTCAATAGACTTATATAAATATTGGATCTCAAGTGATGGCTCTATTGCCTATATTTTAGTGATTAAAAAAATCTATAGGGGCGCCTGGGTAGCTCAGTCATTAAGTGTCTGCCTTCGGCTCAGGTCATGATCCCAGGGTCCTGGGATCCAGCCCCACATCGGGCTCCCTGCTCGGCAGGAAGCCTGCTTCTCCCTCTCCCACTCCCCCTGCTTGTGTTCCCTCTCTCGCTGTGTCTCTCTCTGTCAAATAAATAAAGAAAATCTTTAAAGAAAATCTATAGGGGGGTGTGCTAATGGTGATCAATTCATTAGGACTAAAAGTTAAGAAAGAGTTTCATTTCGCTTAGTTTTCCAACATTTTATTATGACAATTTTCAAATACATAGAAAAGTTGAACAGCTTCATTTCTCAAGATCACAATTCTCCCTACTTTAGATGTAGCCAGGTGATCTCAAAACCCCACAACTACTGGGAGGGACCAGTGTATTCTGAACCTCTAACTGCCTGAGGCAAATGACAGCAGCATAGCATGATCAGTTTTGACATTTTGGTCACTTTATTCGTATAATTATACCCGTAGCTAGTCAATCTCTCCTGCTAGACAGAACTTGACTACTGAAAAACGCTTTCTCTTCCACGATCTTATTCTGAGCCTCACAACAATCTTATAAAGTAGGAAGAGGATATATATATATATTTTTTTTAAAGATTTTCTTTATTTATTTGAGAGAGAGATACATAGCGAGAGAGGGAACACAAGCAGGGGGTGTGGGAGAGAGAGAAGCAGACTTCCTGCGGAGCAGGGAGCCGGATGAGGGGCTCGATCCCAGGACCCTGGGATCATGACCTGAGCTGAAGGCAGCCGCTCAACGACTGAGCCACCCAGGTGCCCTGGAAGAGGATATATTTTAACCATTTCAGAGATGGAGAAACTGAGGTTCAGGGGAGTTGGCCTGTCTATCTAGTTAGTATAGGATGGACCTGGCTCTTGACTCTAGTTGCTCTCACACATTGTCTCATCCCAGTAGACTGCAAAGAATTTTCCATTCAATTTTGCCATGACTATGTCGGTGCACTGTGGGTTGTCATTTACAACTTTCATATTACACGTGCTTTTCCAACAGTTGCAGTGACACACAGATCTACCCCAAAGTGAAACCAAAGTGGGACCAATAGACCTCAGGGAGAACAATCCAATCAGCGCAGGTCAGTAAAATGATGCAGGGCACAGGTCAGTAAAATGATGCAGGGAGTAACTCATGTTTTCATGAGGCACAGAGAGTGAAGGACAGGCAGGTTAAATGAGAAGCCACTTTCCTCTTCCAGGCAAGAGAGAAGTTGTCACTGCACAGTGAAATAAATGCCTGCCTATTTTATTTATTCTTCTTGTGTAGCTAAATCTATCAGTTTCCATGGTGCCCCATGTTCACCATGGAAACTCTGACAAGCTTGTTATGCTTTAGAGAAGAAAAAAAAGGCACACCAAAAATCTGAGATGGGATAAATGCATTCCTTTTAAAACTGTGTTCTTCTGAGTAGGAAGCCTTGATGGATAGCAAGTCATAATGATCTTGATTTTCCAGTTCTTAAGTGGGAACGCAGGTTTGCATTCCCACCAAAGGAGCACCCTTGGCCCCCCAAAACTACTTTATCTGTGCAGCAATAGGTTATGCCTGTGAGTATCTCACTTCTGCATTTCCTGGCAACAGAAAGATGGC